AGGAATATCCAAAAGTTAATTGTAAACACACCAAAGTAGTACGTCACTCAGTCATGTTTTACATAAATGGAGTAAAAAAAGAAAACATAAAAGTAATTCTATTCAGAAACTTAATAAATAATTTTAAAGACGTAATCAATAAATGAAAAAGATTAATAACGAATTCACTATTAAGTCCCCAGTATAAAATGGCATTTGGTCACTATGTTTAGTACTCAGTAAAAAAAATGTCATTTGATTGCTATGTTAATTCCCAGTAAAAACAATTGTCATTTTTAGGCCTGAGCAGTAATTTCATCTTCAGATTAAAAAGAGTAATGATACAAAACTGGTTGTTTGCAATGTAACAAGCATCTTTACAATAAGTAATTTTTCTAAGAATGAAAGTTATTATTTTTCTATACTGAAAGTATCTTTCAGATAACTACTCACATGTAGAACTATTCTTATTTAGTGCTACCCTCTATTGGCAAATATTTTGAACTCCCACGTACCCCACGATCAACGTGGTTCAACTGCAACACGCATGTAAATCATCATGTAACAACTTTCCATCAATAGGAGTGCAACACACCCGTCTGATGCATGTAACTCCCTCAATTGGATTCTACCAAACTATCACTTCGAGATTAGACGGAAAAGAAAATACTAATTTTCAGTGGAAAGGAAGGGTGGGACGTGTGAGAGGAGAAAAGTACCTATCAGAAATATATTTTCAGTATAGGAAAATATTTAATTCTGATATAGTATATTATCTCCACTCACATGTATAGCTAGAATCTCACATTGAATGGGTGGAGGGACCGGTGCAAGGGACAGAAATAAGTATCAATCGAAAGTGTCCAAAAAACACCAATGAAGTGTCCCCATTGGGAGAGGAACACACATGGGAGACCACACCACTTCTGTACAAGGTATATTCTGAGCCCAGTGTGTAAATAGATGTCACACACATGGATGAAAAGTGGGAGGAGCACAAACAAAAAGAAGAGAAAAACCTGGTGAGTTCGATTCCGAACAACAATATACCAGAATTTCAATCCCGGTAAAGAAAGACTGTACAAGAACCATCTACAGACAGGAGTGTGGGGGAAAGCTAAAATGGATAGGCTCCAAGGTGTAGAGTGGCTAGGGCATGACAGACCGTATGCAGCCAATCAATTTCAGTCCAAAACCAAACAGCATCAGAATTACAACAAGCAACCCGTGGTAGGTGGGCTTGAACCAAAGGAATAAGGGCTTCCATAGAAGCCCAAGTCCTCAAAAGTGACAGAACCTCTCGTGCAGAAACCAAGGAAGCAGTAAATGCATGGAGAACTTAAAGTACTATCGAGCAGAGAAGAAGTGGAGAAAGTTGGGCCATAATGATGTGAGTGTTGAAAAATACACTCAAGTAGATAAGATAGTGGGTAGGCAAAACGAAAACTTCACCAACTCTAGAATCCAGCCAACACAAGTTGCTCCTGTCAACAGCAGATCTGTATGTGTTGAGAAGATTCCAGTTCGGAATAAGCTAACAGGAGCCAGTCATCCATGTAGTGGTGTAAACTCAACCTTAAAGTTGTGCCTTAACAACCCAATAAAATACATACAATGCTGAAGCAAGCCCAAAAGACTAGGTGCAAAACTGATACACAACCCCATAGTGGAAAAATCAAAGATAGCACCTAAATTTATGAGAAATATCAATGTGGAGATAAGCATTTGAAAAATATATCTTGGTCATCCATAGTCCTTGAGAAAAAAACCCTAAGTATGATAAAGGAATCCATGGATAATTGGGGAAGATCCAAAAATTTGTTGAAGCAGGACAGATGGATCACAGGACTAAAAACCTGGAGAAGGTTGACTGACAGGCTCAGTAGCTCTCAATGACAGAAGGGTCAGCACAACCTTGGATAGACACAGTTAACAGGAAGGATATCGATACAGGAGACAAACATGGAGGGGAAAGGAAAATTATGAAAAAATGCTTCTGACAAAACTTGGTTCACCCAAAAAATCAGTAGTGAATAACTGCCACAGAACAAAATTGGCCAAATGAACCCCCACCGAAAACCACCTGATAGTCACTGGAACTGCTGGCAACGATGAACTCAACATCGAGACCCAGGACAAAATTTCAAATCCCTTGTGGTAAGAACTGGTAAAGGACGGGAGGTTGCAGGATGAGAAACAGTTATGGGAGAGGTAATGGTATCAGAATGAGATAAACAAGCAACCAATGATGAAAGGGTTGAATGTGGACTTACGGAGTCCACACATGATTCCAAAAACTCTGGAAAATCTCTAAAAACAAACCTATAGAGAAAGGGAGTCATCTGGAAGTCATGAAGATAAAGGGAAGGTAGATGAACCTGTGGAAAGAAAATGTCCTTCCCAATAAGATCCCAACAGCAATGAAACTATGAGGGAAGGGACAGGGCAGAAGAGGACAATAGCACCAAGGAGAAGTGAGAAGTGAAAATGTATCCCCTGAAAACCCGACAGGAGATCAGTGGAGTGATTCAGAAAGGAGGTGTATGTTGGACAAGTACTGTAGGAGAGCTGTAAGGGTAAGATGAAGGTGGGAAAATGGATGTGAGAAAATGTATAGGATTATCAGGGACAAACCCCCCCCCCCCCCCCCCATACTGTCAAAAGTGACTCCACTGGGAATTGAGAAAGGGTTGATCAGCTTGCTGATAAGCCAAAGCATAATGACCAGAAGTCCATGAAGGATGAGGCACATGTCAACACCAGCCCTCAACTGAGAAACAAAATGCTTAGCATGAAGGAGGAAAAACAAGGAACTCCAATGTAAAAAAGGAAGGAACAGTATCATATGAAAACAGTGAAAATGGAGAAATCATATCCAAAAAGTATCATATGAAAACAGTAAAAATGGAGAAATCATAACCAAAAAGGCAGAGTTAGCCATAGTAGATTTCGTAAGAGATGCATGGGAAGTCACAGCAGAGTTATGAGGAAGAAAAAGGCTGTCAAAATCTTCCTCACCATGAATGGGTTTAGACGATGCAGGAGGAATCCAAATATTGTCGGGAGAAAAAGGAAGCTCATATAATGATCAATCTCCCCAAAAACAATGGTCGAAAAATCCTAAGTCAAGACCTATAGACCTGAAGTCAGTAATGGCACTCGAAGTAGCGGTAATAATATCAGAAGTTGTAAAATATAAACTTCAGAATTCATCTTAAATCATGAAGAAGTCGAAAATGACAAAAATCAATAAACAAAAATATGTTATTCTGACAAACTACTACAGAAAAACTAAGAGTAGAAAAGGAATAAATCAAGTAAATCACTACTTTGCAAAAAAGAAAAAATTAAATGAACACATGAAAAGAGCACAACTGAAAAACGCCTGCACTTGATCACTGCCTAACAAGAAATGATAGTTTGGTAGAATCGAATAGTCACATGTGTCAGGCAGGTGTGTCTCACTCCTACTGGTGGAAGGTTGCCACATAATTTACATGCGAGATGCAGTTGAACCACGTTGATTTGGGGTATGTGGGAGTTCAAGGCTTGTGGCATGCAAAAAATTTTTGTATATAGAAGGCACCACTGAATGAGAATAGCTATACATGTGAGAGGGAGTAATGTACCGTATCGAAAACATATAGCAAATACAATTTTTTTTAACAAAACTTAATAACCTTAATGGCAGGCTCAAAACATTTTAAGTATTTAAGAATAATTTCATGAAGCTCTGTCATTTTGTAAAAGGCAAACAAAAAAGTTTAGAGTTTAGAATAACCAAGATATAAATTTATTTTGTTTACTGTGTTACACTCATAACAAGTTGATCAAAGTCACTCACCACAAATGGACAGTCTCTGGAATCAATCAATACTTGGTAGTATGTGTGGGTGTGGCCTTTCACTTCCCGGCCCATGTGATTAAACCCAGAACTTCCTTCCTCCATTGTTCTGGGTGCAAAAAGTATCCAAAATTTTTTAATGAATCTCCCTCAAATGAGAATTTTCATCACATAAAGTCAAAGTTGCAAATATAAAAACTAAAGTACCATATTACATTACACGTCTGTGACCACATTAGAAGTCTATTTATGGTTGGTAGGATGTTTAAACAGTACTTTCTGGTGTGAAACATAAGACATTAGTACAAACTGCCGGAGCTCATTACCATAAATACTGACATGTCATCCAGAGATAACCTGTATATTTACTTGCATAAAAATATATAATAGCAGGAATGAAAATATGCTAGAGCTAAAAATCCTGAAAGTAGAGCTCTGGTGAGAGTTTCCAGTGAATTAACTGTATTTTAAAAGATGTTGGAATTCAATCTCATTAAAACTGTTATATTTTAATATTATTTATAATACCAAACAATCTGTCTTTTTTAAACTGAAATATCTGTTACAAACAACAAGCAACTATATACATATTAGTTTATAAGTCTACAAACAACTAATAACTTTCAGAATATTAACCTCCACACAGATGTTTGTCAATTCACCATTATAGTTATCAATTCTAAAATGTATTCTCTTGACTGCCAATACAAATTAGAAATCTACACTATCATTAGTACAGCTTAACATTATGTCTAATGTAAGCAATAAATAGACTATCTAATTTGAGACATGACAGACTTTTAGTGCCTCATCTAACTTGTGTATAATTAACAAAATTATATATTCATGGCTTATTTTCTATATAAAATAATATACAGCAAGACTAGTATGTGCTTTTTTTTAAATGAATTCAATTACTCTGAAAAACTCTGCATTCTTAAACATTCTTTCCAGTGTTATTACATGACAAAAATCTATAAAATCAACTATCTTGTGCTTGGATTGGTGCATCCCACCTTAAAGGCAAAACTGTACTATGGAATTTAAAATATGTAGAAAATAAACCTGTAGTCAAATAAATGTTCTTCCACACATTACAAAAAACTTTGTAAAGGTTGATATTTATTCAATAAAATAGTTTTTTTTCATTTAAATTCATACACACAAAAAATTCAAATCATAAATTTTGATTTCACTACACTTTGAATGAAAACATTAGTGTTCATCATTTTTCTGATTTTTTTACTGAACATAATACAGCATTTCCCTTCTCCTTAGGAGAAAGTCTAAATAGCTTGCAACAAAATAGCTAATTTAAACCTTATAACTTTAATACAAGTGTAGTTTTATCAGTTTCAGTCAACCACTGTTTCTCAATTGTGATGGTGTGACATAGCTGAATATATCTCAGCTTTAATAAGTCATAGACCAGAAATATAGTCATTATAATGAGTAATTAACTTTACATTTTGTACTTCAGAGAGTAGAGGTAAATAAATTACAGAAGTGGGAAGACCTAGGTTCAAAAGGTAATAAAGCAATAAAATTAAGCATAAACAGATGTAGACTGTTACTAACCTTAAGCTATTTACAATAAACAATTATAGTTTTCTGTTACAATCTGCAATCGTTTTAGAAAGAAAAAGGGGAATTTAGAATTTGTATTTTTTATGGTAGTTACCAGGTTCGTCAAATCAACCAAGTCCATATAGGGTTAGAGAAAATAACGGAAAATATAAAGTTTTATCAAAAAAATTGTTTGATATTTATTTAGGAGGTTTTAGAGTTACGCAAATAAAGTTTGAAAATTTTCAGATTAAGAAAAGTATTTTTAATTTTAACTTGAAAATCACTTGGCACTCAGAGCAGTCAACACTGATTCCATATATTCATGGACAAATCTTTAGTAAAAATACTTAATTAAAAAAATCTGATTTTTCATGTACAAAAGATCTGTAATGCTTACTGAAGGCTTGCAGATTTGTTGAACATACACAAAATGTATTAAAGTTATAGTATGGAAACTCTAACGGTTATTTTGTGGTTACAAGATAGGTTATATCACTGACTCCATATGGAAAGAGTTAAGTGATAATGAATTATTTGGCCAATGTTTCAGTCACACAACCTTCACTGTGTCCTGACGAAAATCATTTGACTGAAATGGTGACCATGTAAATATTTTTTCCTTGAAGCTATTTAAGATTTATCACATTGCAGATGCATTTTCATGTTTTTTATATACATCTTAATAGCCTAACTTTGAAATCCATAAGACAGGTTTTATGATTTTTCAAACCACATACCGTATTTTTCGGAATATAAGATGCACCCTTATTTTGAAAACAAAGTTTTGGGGAAAAAAAGCTACAGTCACATTTGAAAGATTTTTATTGAACAAAAATTCAATTTTATAC